ATGACTATGAAGCAGAAAGGCAGATTGAATAACAAACCAGAATTTTCAATGGAAATATTTTAAATGAATCTGAAATAATTTCTTAATCTTCTGTTTCCTCACATTAACAAGTTCCTTGGCAATAACATATGTTTAGAATTTCCACTGCATTTATCTTTAAAGACATCAGGATAAATTTACACAAAAGGGCTCATATCTACGAGCAAAGGTCTCAAACATGTCCTAGATCTTAAACTGCTCTCTTTGTCTCCAGGCTTTTCTGCCAGTCTGCACCCCTTAAGCTTCCTCAGACTGCTCAAATGTCTTTAAACACTCCCTCTTCTTAGCATGTCAGATATGAATTCCTTACTCCCACCTCTTAAAGCCTCCCCTCACATTGCCAGGCTCAGGTAAGCAGGTTCTAGACTGCTCCACAAACTTACAAGGCTCATTTTCACCTCCATGCCTTCTTGAATGTCCCTCTACCATTCTTTATTTATTTATCTGTTTATGTTTCAAGCTCCTATTTAAAAACAATGATCTATGATAAATTTTAGATCTTCTTGAAAGCAGTCACATCCATGGACTGCACATGGTCCTCGGAGCAGTGATCCACTCCATCAGCATATCTGTTCCAACTTTATCGTCTACTGCTACACAATGCATTTGAAGGTTTTTAATTCCACACCACATGGGGAACCAGTTTAGAAGAACCCTAGACTAAGCTGTCTGCTTGAATGCCCATGACAAGCTCCTCTTATTCTGCCATACCCGTCTCATCATCCCAAGGTTTCACATCCAGTAAGATGGAAGACGTGGCAACAAATGCAGGTCTTGTGGCTTTCTTTGACTCATACCGTGCAAGGCATTCGTCTCTCAGGCGCTTTGCTTCTTAGCTTTCCCCTCCCTCATCAGACCCAAAGAAATCAATGTCCTCATTGTCTTTACCATCTATAGCTCCACTTTGTCTTCCACATTAGCAGGGCTATACTTGCCCAAAACTTTCTTCACTCCTGGCACATTGGCCATTTCCTTTTGTAAGATTTGATGTGATTATACCAACATGGTATAATGCAATCTGCAGGTGGTGGGCCAGAGACTGCTTTAAATACTGCCACCTTTGCTTGTAATGGCACATAGCCCTAGATGTGGCTCTTCTCCACCAGGTAGTCATGGAGCACCTGGAGGCAAGTGGGGATTTTCAGGTCTCCAAAACCCATGGTGCTGGCGGATCCAGGAGCTGGACGGCAGCTAACAAAAAAGGAGGCACAAGCAGTTGGCAAGAGGACTAAGAGGGAAAAAAAAGGCTCCCAAACTTTTGTTACTCAAATCTTCACTAGGCCTAATTCAAGTTTCACTTCCTTGTGAAACTTCTCTGACCACTCTTGATTTTGTTAAAATCAAGGCAGATCTGATAATAATCTGTCTGACACACTCACCTCCCAGATAACTCATGGTTCACTCCTGTTCAAATGTCATGTTAGCTATTTGGCCTGCTCTGAGTGCTCTACTTAAAATGACAGCATCCCCTCACCCCAGCATTTCCAAGTCTGATTTATATTTGTTTTTCTTCCTAGCATTCACCACCATCTTGTATATTAGATATTCACTTATTTATTATAGTCAGCATCCTCCTGCCCAGAATGTAAAATTCCCCATGAGGGCAAAGAATTTTATCTGTTTTGTTACTGTTTTGTTATCTGTGTAATTTCAAGAACCAAGAATATGTCATGACACATAGTAGATATTCAATAAATATTGGCTCAATAAATGAATGAATCTTCCTCTCTTTGAAATTCAAAGGTCATAGCATATTCCATACTATATCATTTAGCACTTATAGTTAATTAAGAATGTGAACTTTATCTCTTCTGCTGTATTTTCAAGACAAATATAAATAATTTCTGGTACTCTTCTAACCTTTCTTCATCAATGTATTCTTTCATTAATCATTCATTAATTATATATTGAGCACCTATTATATGCTATTACATGCTAGGTCCTATTCTTTTAGCAAAAACTTCAAGAACTCAGTTACACATAAATACATACACATATACACACATGCAATAAAGAAGACTAAAAAGAAAGACTGGTAAAGTGAACACTGGTAAAACCGAAACTCCAATATTAATTATGTGGGTACAGTGTACAAAGGGAGTGTGACAGACTGAATGGGTAGAAAAAGGAAAAAAGACAGAATGGTGAGAGACTAGAGTAGGATGTTGCCAAAGTAATCACCAGATGCTAGTGCTTAATATAAACTATACCAAAGCAGATATGCAAATATATTCAACATGAATTTTTAAAATTTACATTTCAGTTTCCAGCCAGCTATCCTCCAGGTAAAAATTAAATTAAGAGGAGCCACACCTGGTAGACATTTTGGAACTGATCCTTGAGTTTCTCTACTACTAAAACACTGTAAATGCCTGCCCCCGTGCCTCTGGGCTGCCATTTATAATGTGTTAGGGCATCACATTACTAATTGCACTATCATGAAATAATCTTTGTGCAGGACCCAAGGTCTCATTGCAAGAGGCAGCTAGCTTTCTACTAAGGACCTTTCAATCTTTCAATTAATGTCCTTGTGCTCTCTGAAGGACATACACAAAATCTGATACCACAATTCCTTTAAAAGGTAACTTATTCTTAAAATGTTGACATCCTTTGACCTAGACATTCTACTCCTGGGACTCTACCCTACGAAAAAAGTCTTAAATGAGGAAATCAATTATTTATTTACAATGGGGAGATGAAACCTATAAGTTCAACAATAGAGGAAAGGTCAAGTAAATTACAGACATTGTAATGTTTACCAAGCATTTGTACCCACATTAAAACAAATATTTTAACAATTTTTATTTACAAACATTAAGTTAAAAAGCAAAAGTCAAAAAGTGTGTGCATATGACCTCAAACATGTCAATAATACAGATAGAAAAAAGACTAGAACAAAATGTTCTAAAATATTAAATGTGATTGATTCTGGATGGGAGGATTATGGTTTTTGAAAATCATGGTTTGTAGTATTTCTCAAATGCTCTACAATTAACATGCTTATTTTTACAAAAACATTATATAAATCTTTTAAACAATGCATTTGTTCTGATAAATTGCTAGAAATGTTCAACCTCTGCTTGATTTTATTAGTTCCAGATAAAGATAATGAATGAAGTGAGCTCGAGTTTCCATAAGAAGAGGAAGCAAGAAAAGAAAGCAAATATATTACAATTTAGTTCCAGGATCTGAGTCCTGATGGAGAAATCCCCCAGTTGTAGAACTGTACTGAAAATCCATTAATATCGTCACACTCCTCTAAACAGTACACTTACAGAGGGTTCCACTGGCAGCAGGGAGTGACAGAGTCTCAAAACCACATGGGTCCCCATCTTCCGAGTTCTCAGAAGAGCTAGATCAGAGCCACCTTGAAATAGAAAGAGGAAGAAATGTGTAAAAACAGAGTACAGGAAAAAAAATTCCAAAAGCTAAACCAATCTAGTGGGGTCAGGCCCCTGCCTCAAACCTACCAACTTAAGTCATCTAGAAGTTTCAGAAATAGGAAGCTGGTTAGCAGGAGCTCCCGTTCAAGATCTTATAATCACAACAGGGCTATTCCAATGGCATTTTTAAAAATTAGTCACTTAGGTTTTACTGGTAATAAAGAGTAATGGTTCCCTATCATTAGTGAAACAAGGAAGCATTTTCTCTCCTCCCTACATTTATCACTCTGAGACCATACAAAGGATTCTGAAGACAATCAGGAAAAATACTGGGAGCTCAGCTTCTGACACACACTTCCCTTTACCCTCAGAAATTAAGTATTAAACTAGAAAGGCAGCATTTATACTCTAAGGCAGAAATTTTTATATAGCACTTTAAGTTCACAAAGTGCTATCACCTACATCATATTTGACCATCACAGTAAATAACTCTTGGAAATAGAGTTCACAATATTACTCCGAGCTAATAGAAAACAGGCTCTTCCAATTAGTAGTGGAGGCAATTTTCTAGCCACTTGTTCCGAATCCACTTGCACTAAGGTCTGTGTTACAGAACAGGCTGGGAAAATAGTGATAATAATGCTAATTGCAGCCAACATTTGACTACATTCCGAGTGCTTACAACTCTCACACTCCATGAAGATGACATTATTATGACCAACTTTTTGGTGCTGTGATTCCATTTTCAGCACTCTATCCGTCTTAAAGAATAATCACTCTCAGGAATAAACCGAGGGCCACCTGTATTTAGGAAGGGTGGTGTCCAGATAGAGAACAGGGAGTGCATTAGTATTCGTCTCCAAGTTCTGAAACTCTGAATCGTGAATGGCACACTAAGAACCTGTAAGGCTCAGAGTGGGTTCGAATCTTCCACTTCCTCCTCCTTAGCCCTTCCCTCGCCCCTCCGCGAATCCCCAGTACTGATCTGGATGCTCAAATGGCAGTAATAATACTTCCCAGTAACCCGCCGCCTTTCAGCACTTACCTTTTAAATCATCGGTCAGTCTGGCTCTGCGTCTCCGTACCTAGCCCTTCTGAGCAGAACCTCCTCCACCAGCAGCTTCGCTGCTGCGTTCCTGCTGCCATGGTGACGGGGGCCGGCCACTGCGGTCCCGCCTCCAGCCGGCCCCAGCCAGCTGCAGACGACCCCGCCCCCGACCCAGCTGGACCCGCCTCTTAATGGCTCGGATCACCACCCTCACCGGCCTTGACCCCGCCCCCTGTCTGGACTCCGCTTCCGGACTTCCTCCAGGAGCCGTTCGCTTTTCTGGACAGAGGCGCCTCCTACTGGCTGGGACTCCGCTCTGGGGAGCTCCGGCTGCTGCAGAGGGAGCTCGCCTCGAGTGGGTCCCAACCGCACCTTCGCTCTTCCCCAGCCGGTGCCAGCGGAGTGGGGCGCGAAGGCCGGCCTTTGTCAACTTACTGGACTCCCAAACTGCCATTAGGTGGGGAGAGACCCGCTGCACCTCCGTGACGTAGAGCCCGCAAATCCCAACCCCAGAAAACGCAACAGGCACGTTCTGTACTCAATTTATTGTTCCTAGAGGCTCAGCACTATCGAGAGCCAACAGTCTATCCACGTAGTGCTGTCAGTGCCAGTGACTTGAAGTCTTTGTAACGGAAGGTCAGAAAATGCTTCCTCCATGCCTCAGCCTTTGACCTTATTTGTCTGTTTAGGTCAATGACCTTTGACCCAGCCACTGAGGAAATGACCCGAGCCAGGACTGGGGGCTGTGTACAAAAGCCCAGAATGCTTTTTCAGAGCACCTCTTCTTCGGCTTTGGAGTTTCAGGTATGTAAAAAGGATACCATTAAATTAAGTTCAGCATGATCAGCTCAAGTTCTGAAGGGCTGACCTGTTTTTTTCTGCACTTTTCTTGAAAGCCAGGAGCAAAGGTGGGGCTCAAAACTTACTTTCCTGCACATTCAACCTAGCCCCCTTATTTTGTGCAACTCCATTCACTCTTGACTAACCCAAATATAACTGGAAGCTATCGGTGGCAAACAAGAAATAGGCATAGGAGAGAGAGCAAGATTGGGGACACACAATTTCAGGGGCTCCTGAATTCTTTAAGTTTAAAATGTGGTCACCATTTCTGGGCTGCCAGAAATGCAGAAATGTGGGAGAAGCAGTAGATTCTCCCACAAGAGTAGTGGTGAAATGATGGAAACCAGTCCTTCCTCCCCAAGGCTCACACTAGGGTCCCATTCTTGCTGTCATAGCAGGGTGTGGCCTGGGGGGAAGGACAGGGTGGCATACTCTGTCGCATTTTCTAGTTGTAGGTGCTTCACCTCCTTGGCAGAGCGTGGCTGAGTATGGCTGCACACTTGAATGACTGCGTAATGTAAGCTGCTGTCCTCTGACCTGGGGCCTTGGCTCCTCTCCTGAGACACAGGCTGCTCCAATACCGGTTCACACGTATATTGTGTTGTGTCATGTCCCTGCAAGGAATAGACAGCACTAAGAGAGATTCTTGGCTTGGTTTGGTCCCTCACCTTCAATGCTGGGTCAGTTAGACTGATGTCCCATCACTTTGCTCCTTTAGGAGGGCAGAGGAGGATGAGCCAAACAAGCAAGTTCTATAGATGACTGAGATGTGTCTGTTCCAGAGTGAAAAGGCCAAGTCCTGGCATCCCATGTCTGAGCAGCCCTTGGGAAGGGACAGAGGCCTGTCATTACCTGTGTGCCATTCTGCTTCTGCTGCTGTTGCTGATTCAGTGTCCATCTTGGTTGACTCCCTGAGAGGAGGAAATCCAATTTCAATCCATTCTCTCTTCCCTGTCTCTACTGAGGCTGCCCTCTTCAAATCTCTGTTATGGTGGACTTCTAACTAATCTCCCTACTTCTCTTCTCACCTCTTTCATTTCTGTCATTCCCACATCCAAACTCATTAGCAGGGAATGCAATTTGGCCCTGCCCATAATATCTTCCATCCCCATTCTTTACCAGTCCCTAACAAGTTCAACAAATAAATGCTGAGAACCCATTAGATTCCAGGCTCTGTGCCACATTGTGGGAATAGAAGAATGAGTACGCTATTTCTTCTACCTCAGGGAGCTTACAGTCTACTAGGGAAGACAAAGAAGTACACAGGCTATTACAGTGCAATGTGGTAAGTGCTCAGCTACCAAACCATTGGTCACTTTCAATTGAGTTATCCTCTTCTCTTTTTTCCTTCTTTCTTTTTTCTACATGAGATAATTCCCTTGCCTAAAATAGTCTCTCCTCCCCCGCTCCTCTTTCAACTTGTGAACTTGCTATTATTTCTTTAACATTGCTGTTTCCTCCCATTCTCCCACAGCAGATGTATGCATCTATTATAGGACTAGTAGATGATATTACAATGACTTGTTTACATATCTATCTCTCAAAGTCGAATGTCCACTCTTTTGGGACAAGACAGTATGTCCTTCCTCTTGTGCCTCTCTCCCTCCTTGAGATTCTTCAGTGCCTCACATACAATGTAAGTGCTCAGTAAATTTTTGCTGGATGAATGAAAGAATGAGGAACCACTCTGAGATAATAGAAAGGATGAGACCCAAAGTTTCAGAGCTGGTCTTGAACCCAGTAACCTAAAGAGTCTCTGTGCTTCATTGTCTTCCTTTATCCCTTCCAGCATTACTCTTTGCCACCATATGCTCTTTCCAAAGACACTGCTTCTATTATGTTCTCTAATTTGCTTTCCCCTCAACCCCACCCAGTCCCTTTCCTCTCCCCAGTTACCCATTTTCTTTTTCCTCTGGAAAATTGTTGGGCAGCTCCTGTGAAAGGAAAAACAGATCACCTGTGTGTAATAGCCCTGGCCTCTATCTTCTCCCCTTCACCATTTGCTCTAAGATCTCCCTAACATTCTGGGATGATCTTCCCTTACCTCCCTCTAACATAGAGTCACCCAGAACCATCCCCAAAGCATTATCAAGGGTACCACACCTCTACCAAAGGGATGGTTCTGGAAGGTAGAGTGGTACAACTGACATAACCAAACCCAAAATACAGACTCAGGCAAGCAGGCATTACATGCCAGGGACATACTGGGTTGAGCGCTATTCTGGGATTGTCTAACAGGCTAATTCCAGCAGAGGGTAAGGGAAACCTGCCAAATAATGGGATATTCCTGGATTCAGAGACCCTCTTGCTTCTGCCTCACTGCCTGTTATGGGGTCTCTGCCAGTCCAGGATTCTCATTCTAGGAGTCACAACCAGGGCTCGCTAGTTAGGTCTAAGTCCTCAAAGCCCTTTCCTAAAAGGTGACCTCCCTTCCTGCTTCCCTGTCCTTGTTTTTAATTAATAGAGAAAGTGAGAGATGTTTAACCTTTAAGGCCCACAGCACAGGGAGCTCTGAATTTGGCGAGTGACTCAGCTATGCTGCCGTCCTGCAAGACAGACCTTTTACACTTGTTTCTGACTCTCTGGGGTCCCCAGTGGAGCCAGTGTGTCTGTGATTGTCAACTGTTTGATGGCCAGAGAAACACTTGTCTGAGGAAATAGGCTGAATAGTTTGGGGCTTACTCAATGCTTTTTCTTGCTAGTACATTTCCAGCTCTCACCGGAGCCAACCTTATTTGTCTGACTCCTATCTCCCCAAGGAAGTTTCCTTCTTTTGCTACTTAAAAAGAGGGAAAAACTTCTAAATCATATCCATTTAATTACTGGGGCAAAATCAGGCTTTTCCCACACAAATCTGACAGAGGATTGTGTTTGGTTTGATTTGGGGTTTTAATGCAGCTTGTCGAGTTGAGAGCAATTAGGGTCACTATGTGAACTCCACAGGTAGTCCCGAAAAAAAAAGCTCTGAAACTACTTGTGGGTCTTTCTACTTCCACTTCTGCCACTTGAGTTCTTCCTTTCTCTTACCATTGCCTACTCAAAGCTTTATCCTAGCCTCTAAATCCCTACCTATTGTCATTATTGTCTTCCTATTTACCTTTACCTAAGTGGGTGAAGAAAATATTAATTCTAAAATAACATAGAGTTGTTTGATCCTGTTTTAGTAAATGGAGCTTGTGCCCAATTTGGATATTGCACAATGTTTGGACACAATTCAAATGGAATATTCAGTTACTTATAGGTAATACAACTTTGTTTTTAGCTTAGAATTAAGGAAACTAAATGGGCACTCTGGCATATTGTCAGTCGGAGCAAAAATTGGTACAATCTTTCTAGAATGCAATTGGCACTAAGTGTAAAAAGCCTTAAACAAATGTGAGTACACTTTGATGTAGCAATTCCATATCCTAAGAAATAATCAGACAGGTACAAATATGGATACTCATCATAGCATTATTTATAATTGCCCAAAACAGGAAATATCCTATATGGCCAATGTTGGGAATGGACTGAAAAAAATGGTATCTCTAATCGGTGAACATTACACATTCAAGAAAGATGTTAGAAGAACACCTACTAACATAGGAAATTTTACTCGTTACTAAGTTAATAAAATGATAAGATATGTTTTGGGATAAAAACTATGCACATAAGCATTTAAAAAAGATTACATGGAAATACATTCAGATGTTCCTGTCATCTCTGGGTGCTTATACTTACACTTTTGTTTTTTGGTACTTTCCAAATATTCTACAGTGAATATGTATTCCTTTGTAATAAAAAATAATATTTCAAAATAAAAATCTCTTTAATTATCATAATTCTTTAAGTCTCTGGAAGCTTATTGAAATGATGGAAAATAATATTTACTCAGTCCTACTAGTGTTTTAAGAGGAAAAAACATAGCAGATGGAGCAAAAGTTGGCTTACAGTTGTTTGTATGGAAAATACAATAATTAATAAATAATAATACAAAAATAAACTGTTTCACATACTCTCAACTATAAACCTACTTTTGTCTTACCCTGTATTTTGGTTGGAATATCTGGTGTAATTCTAGCCAGGATCTGAAGTCAGAATGATGCTATCAGACTAGCTGTGTGACCTTCAGCAAGTTTTTAACCTCAGCAAGGTTTTCATTTTTTAATCAATGATATGAGGATGATAATAGAACCTGAACCTAATGGGACTGTTGTAAGAATTAAATAAAATAATAAATATAAACTACTCAGCTAGCTGCCTGACATATAATGATTGTCAGTCAAAGCTGACTACTGCGACTGCCACCATCAGAGGAAAAATAACTGAAAAACAAAGAACATGAAGACTTGGGAAGAAGGGAAGTGAAAGAAGCTGTTACACTTTCTTCTTTAGAAGCATTTATATGTTCCTAGATATCCTGTCTCTGTAGGACATCTTAGAGTTTAAAAAGTGCATTTTTCCCCCCTCAATTCTGACAGCATGTCAGGAAACACATATTATTGTTCCCATTTTACAGATGGATCAGCTAAGGCCCTAAAACTTTGTTACTGAAGAAGGCAGAGACCAAATTTCCTATTATGGCTATGCATTCTGCATCTGTCACTTTGCCTGATACATATAGGTGTTGAGTAAAATCTTTGTTTAATAAATGAATAATAGGAATAGGACTTCAATGTATTGACTCTAAATCATACACCATTTTCAATGTACCTCACCTATGTTTCTAAATATAATGATACTTTATTCATAAACGAGATATCCTCAACACTGTCCCAGGCTTGGAATGCACTTGGAATGCCCCTAAGAAGGCACTAGTTGTATGAAGCCAGGCCCAGGGGTTTATGGTGATGACTACTCTGGGAAAGAACAATAAAGACATTGCAGTTAATTTACAGTGAGGCTTTCTCATGTCCTCTGTTCTTCAAATCTATGATCTAAACAACATAAGTCATGTGATCTACATTTCTAATATATATATATTAGGCATATATATCTCTAAGTTTTATATATATATATATCACTTAGGCAAATCCTATTTTTCCTATATATATTTTATATATATTTATGTATTTTTCTATATGTATTTTTCCATATATATTACTTTGTGTGTGTGTGCACGTGTGTAAGAAAATAATAGGATTTGCCTAAGTTCACAGAGCAAGTAAGTGTGAAAGTCATATTCAAATATTCCGGGGTAGTCTGGGGTAGTCTGACTTCTGCCCTTTTAAATGAACATTTCTCCAACGTTGTTTTGCTTGATTTGGAAGGCAGTATTATGCAGTGGTTAAAAGCATGGGCTCTAAAGTCAGACAGATCTAGGTTGGAATCTTGGTTTACTTGCTTACCAGCCATGTGACCTCAGACAACTGCTCTGAGCCTCAGCTTCTGGACTGTAAAAACAGGAGGAAGAGTAAGGCTACTTCCCTCACAGGATGGTTGGGAAAATTAAATGAGATTGTAAAGTGGCTGGAATAGTAAGCTATCAAATAAGTAAGCCTTCCCTCATCAGGAGAAGGGAAGGGACAGGAGGGAAAGGAAACAACAGGAGAACAAAGAGAAACAAATGACAATTCACCATTCCAGCCCTGCTCTGGGCATTCTACTGACAGCTGGCTTGGCTGTGTTTACTGAAGTCACTTAAAAGGAGTGAGCACAGAAGGAGGTGCTGTTCTGGTGGTGGCACAGGGAGGTGCCAGGCAGAGGAAGGTGGCAGTGAGAAGTTGGCAAAGAACTGTCTGTAGGCTCTATCTTATTCTCAGGGCCTCCACGTTCACCCACATAGATGTTACCCTCTCCCCTTTCCCCTTACTCACCAGCTTTTCCCACAGCAGAGCCGGTTTCCCATGGCGCTCTGTCTCGGAGGGAGCCCAGCTGTTTTTCTACCTAAAGAGGCTCAAGCATTTCCTGGTTCCTGGTTTAGCTTTCAGTAGCAGCTCCCAGAGAGTCTCTGTCAGTGTCAGATTTCAACCCAGCAGGTTGGACTTTGGAAGCCACCTGCTGGAATGATTCCCAGGTGACTGCTCCCAGCCAAAGCGTAGAGGAATACACACAGGCTCCAGGTGAGAATTATCTCACCTTGGGGATTTGGAGCTGCTTTGATGAAGCCACGGACTTTGAGCTTCAAGCTTCAGTGAAAAGAAACCTGAGATAAAAAAGGGCTGTGGGATTCCTAAAGAAATGTTTCTCCAGGATATCACACTGTCATGTAAATATATCCTCCATAATAGAGCAGAGTCTTACCTTATGTTTCCCAGCACTACTCAGCTTTGAGTTTCACTTTCAAGGTTATCAGTATCAGTTTCTTATTGTCTGTGTCCAGAATCTGGGTTTGAACACTGAAGTCTCTAAGAAACTTAATTTTAGGGAAATGGACTCCTTTTATATTTTTTCTCCCTTCCTGGTGGAAATAACGTGAGCAAATCACTTTTTTCTTAGGACTGTAAAATGGAGTACTAAACCTATTACCTACCCCATCTCTGGTAGAAAATCATATGACTGTATGATTGCAAGGGCCTCAGCACTTCTTAAGCACTCACTTCCTCATTCCAGCACAGAAATGTAGAATTCCCACTTAGAGCTCAACTCAGCTTCTCCTTCCAATGACTCAAAATTACACCCATTCCACACTTGCCAGCAACTAGGACGTAGTTGAGCAAATATCTCTGTAGAAAATATGGGCTCCAGGAGAATTTGTGAAACCCGTAAACCTTGTCTCCAGTGCTCCTACCCACATATTTAGTCCTCATTCAGATTCCCAGGTACTAGTGTGCTCCCTTATGACACTCCCTTAATTAGGGATCCCCCACTCAGCCCTGCACTCCACAGAGAGTACCCTGGACTCTTCACTCCTCCCATCTTCTTTCCTTATAAAAAGTGGGGACAATAAGAGTGAAGCCTTACAGGATTATGGTAAAGATTAAATGAGATAATATATATAAAATTCTAGTCCAGGGCCTGGAACATGGGGAGCTCTTGGTAAGCCCTAGCTATTGTTATTATTTCTTCTTGTTCTCAGCTAATTGTCAGATGGTAAAGCATCTTATTTATAACCTGGTGCTGGATCATTGCACTAGCCTCTTATGTCATGGCCATGCTTCTCCCAGGCAATCCACTCTCTACTCTACCTTTAACTGTATTCATTTCATCCTGTTGCCCACACATCTTAGCCTGGAATTCAAAGCCTTCCATATTTGATCCCTTTCCTGGCCACTTTCTCTAATGTAAAGGAAAATACCTAAGAGATTTTATATTCCCAGAAATTCCAAAGGAATCAACAGTGTGTAGTAGCAACCAGATATACATAAAGCAGCATTAATAGAAGTCTAGAGTAATAAATAAGGGTGTTGATTATTCCACTTAAGTCTGTACCAATCAGTCCATGACTGGAATAATAATTTTAGGTCTACATGTTGATTTTCAAGTTATATTGTCAAAAGGTAGTGTGTCCAAGAGAAATGAGTTGTCTGGGTAATAAGTGATATGGAAACTCCTATAAGATATATTAAAAGAACTAAGTATGTGTAATTGGTAGAGGGAAGCCTTAGGAGAAAAGGATGATTATCTTTAAATATCTGAAGGACTCTCAAGTGAAAGAAGAATTGCATTTATTTTCTGGACATCATCAGACACAATGGGCAGATGTTACTGAAATGCAGAGTTTGGTTCAATTAAAGGAAGAATTCTTGACTTCGGTTAAGATGGAGTCATAGGTAGACACACTTCACCTCCTTGCACAACCATAAGAAGGATCACAGCTAACTTCAAAATAAAAAACACCCAGAACTGTCAGAAAATTGAACTGTATGGAAGTCTGACAACTAAGGATTTAAAGAAGCCATATTCATCCAGACAGGTAAAAGGGGCGGAAACAGGGACCTGGGGCAGAGAGAAAGCAGTGTCGGCAGCGAGGGGGCAGCAGTGGCCAGTGGAACAGGTTGTCCCACATTCAGGTGTGGTGGATAAAAATCAGGAGAGATACCTGGGGAGTGAGCAATCCCAGCCCCAAGCCAGATCATGCAGCCCAGGGTTCTAGCACCAGGAAAATAAAGCCTCATAACTTCTGGCTATAAAAACTAGTGGGGGTTGGGGCAATGGAAGAAACTGCTCGTATCTATGGAGAGTTCCTTTAAAGGGCCAGCACGCTCCTAGAACCTATGCAAACCCACTCACTCTGGGAACCACCACCAGGGCAACAGCTAGAGGAGCACCAGTCACATACAGGAAGTGAGTGAAGTGACTGGAAATGGGGCAAGTGCCAAGTAAGCCTCCAGCAGCCAGTCAGCAGCATTCTCCCCTCTCTAGCCCCTCCCCCACATACTGTGACAAATGGTGAAGCAGGTTGCCCTGCCCTGGCAATTACCTAAGACTCCACCCCACACAACATAACAGGTACGCCAAAATAGGGAGTCAAAGCAGCTCTACCAAATACACAGAAATGAACACAGGGATGCTGTCAATTGAGGAGACAAAAACATATGGCTCAAATAAAAGAGCAAAACCCCAGAAAAATAACTAAATGAAACAGAGATAGCCAACCTACCAGATGCAAAGCTCAAAACACTGGATAAATATACTCAGAGAACTCACTGAGTATGGCAAAAGCATAAGGAAAGAAATGAATGCTACACTAAGTGAAATAAAGAAAAATCCACAGGGAACCAACAATGAAAGGAAGGAAGATGGGGTTCAAATCAACGATTTGGAACATATAGAAGAAATAAACGGTCAACCAGAACAGAATGAAGAAACAAGAATTAAAAAACAAAACAAAACAAAAAAACCTGAGAGAATAAGAAGACTCTGGGACATCTCCAAAAGTGCCAACATCCAAATCATAGGGATGCCAGCAGGAGAAGAAGAGCAAGAAATTGAAAATTTGTTTGAACAAATAATGAAGGAAAACTTCCCCAATCTGATGAAGAAAATAGACTTCCAGGAAGTCCAGGAAGCTCAGAGAGTCCCAAAGAAGTTGGACCCAAAGAGGACCACACCAAGACACATCATAGTTAAAATGCTAAAGGTTAAAGATAAAGAGAGAATCTTAAAAACAGCAAGAGAAGAGCAGAGAGTTACCTACAAAGGGGTTCCCATAAGGCTATCAGCTGATTTCTCAAAAGAAACCTTGCAAGCAAGAAGGAACTGGCAAGGAGTATTCAAAGTGATGAAAAGCAAGGACCTACATCCAAGATTGCTCTATCCAGCAAAGATATCATTTGGAATGAAAGGCAGATAACGTGCTTCCCAGACCAGGTGAAAGTAAAGGAGTTCATCATCACCAAGCCCTTATTATATGAAATGTTAAGGGACTTATCTGAGAAAAAGAAGATCAAAACTATGAACATTAATATGACAACAAACTTACAACTATCAACAATTGAACCTAAAAAGTAAAACAAAACAAAAAAGAAACTAAGCAAACAACCAAACAGGAGCAGAATCATAGATATGGAGATCCTTCGTAGGGTTATCAGCTGGGAAGGGGAAGGGGGAGTATGAGGGAAAGGATACAGAGATTAAGAAGCATAATTGGTAGGTACAAAATAGACAGGGGGATGTTAAGAACAGTATAAGGAATGGAGAAGCCAAAGAACTTACATGCATGACCCACTGATGTAAACTACAGGGGGATTGCTGGAGGGAATGAGGGTACTAGGCGGAGGAGGACAAAGGGGGAAAAATTGGGACAACTGTAAATAGCATAATCAATAAAATATACTTTAAAAAAAATAAAGGAAGGCCTTGGCTGATGTGGCTCCTTGGATTGTGCGCCAGCCTGTGAACCAGCGAGTCCCCAGCTCAATTCCTGGTCTAGGGCACATGCCTGGGTTGTGGGCCAGTAGGGGGCATGTGAGAGACAACCACACATTGATGTTTCCCTCTCTTTCCCACCCTTCTTCTCTGTCTAATAATAAAATCTTAAAAAAAAAAGAAAGAAAGGAAGAATTCTTAACAGATATGTCCAAAAAGAAAATGAAGTCAGCTACTTTATGAAATTCTTTGTTCTCAGTCACTCAAAATGCCCCAGAAGAAGTTGTCTAATAATCTTGAAGAAACATGGATGGTGTGGGGATTTAGACCAAATCAAAGGTCTCAGATTTTTTTCTAGTTAAGGAACCCTTTTTTTAAAATAAAGCTCATGTGAGAACCCCAGCTACAAAACAGATCAATGTGAAGCTGTTTCAGTTGAAGTCAGAGTGGGATATTTTAAAATTAATTTTCTTTTCAGTTAGGTACTATGATTTCTAAGAGTAGAAAATAAAAGACCATAGTTTTCATAATTAATATTTACAATGTGTATCCCCCATAGTGTATCACTTGGGGGTTGATAAGCATTTGTTGAATGAACAAATAAATATATCAACAGTTATTTCTCTGAAGCATGCTTTCATTTTAAAATCTATTTATTTTTTTCACTCCTCACTTGAGGTTATATTTATTGATTTGAAGCAGAGAGAGAGAGAAACATCGATGTGAGAGAAATATTGATTGGTTGCCTCCCATATGTACCCCAACTGGAGATTGAACCCGCAATACAGGCCTGTGCGCTGACCAGGAATCAAACCCACAACCTTTTCGTGTTCATGATGATGTTCCAACTAACCCAGCCAGAGGGCATGCTTTCATTTTAAATCAATGGCAATCCTTTAACCAATTATTGGCTTCTTTAAGTGAGGGTTTCTATCCTGGGGATGCACAGACCCCTAAGAGGGACATATGAATGGACCTCAATAGCTCTATTCAAATTATATGCCAAACTTGGAAGCATATGTATTTTTCTGGTAAGAGTATCTATAGCTTTTGTCCAATTTTCAAATGGGTCAGCAACCCAACAAATTTAATAATTAACCAGGATAATGGAAGAATTTCAGATGTCCACCACAGTCTCATAAAAGGTATATTTGGGGACAGAGAGATCTCTGGACACTCCCCAAATCATACACATGCATGCTTTTTTATTACAGAGAGTAGTTGAGGGGTAAGACCCCCAGACTTTCCTGCACACACCACAGCTCTGGTAATAACACTCTACTTCTAAAGTACACTTCCCTGGCCATCACGACCATACCAGTAGCCCTAGACGCCCTGCATTTAGTCTCAGATTATGTGGCGGTGATACAGTGATTCCTCTCTATGGGATGTTCCAAGATATGAGGCAAATGCTTTCTCTCATGAGCCTCCCCTGTGCATAGGGTAGGGAGACTATGGGGTTCAGTGACAATGGCAGAGATTTCTGTGTCTGTGCTCCTGTGTATACATACTTGTCCCCTTAGAATCAGAGGCTATTTTCAGTGGACAGACCTTAGTATGGAAAAACAGGGCTTTAGGCAACTCTCTCCAGCCAAAATCTGTTTCCAACCCCTACCCCAAACAGGCCAGACAGTCTGGAGACCCTTGTTTTTTGTGTCCCTAATCACCAGCCCAGACAGTGCCCTCTGGGTTGTTTGGATGGTATATCCCTTTTCTCTCCCAGGATCACTCTCTCTTTTGTTGCACTGAGAAAATTATGGCTAGGAATTTGATCTGGAGCCAGTGTCAGCTTCCGGGTGTGATCTCAGCATCCCTGTGTGAGCTCAGGCTTCTATAACACTGGGTACATCTAACTGAAGAGTTTTTCCCTAGCTGTGACCTCCTCCCTCACTTCCCACCCCATCCTCCAGGCCACAGAATAGGAAGCAGCACAAATAAGGCCCTGAGATTTGGGTTTATTCAGCTCCACCCAGAACTAAACCAAAGGCTAGGACATGTCCCAAGGGACCAAACCATACATTGTGGCCCATGCACTTTTCCCCTTTCCCAAGGATGCTGCTACCTCTAGGGTGATGGCAGCTGCCGTATCACCACGGGAGGTAGAAAGTGCTGGATACCGGGTCTGTGGCATTCAGGGCTCAACTCCCGCTGCCTCCTCTTCTTCCGGATCAGGAGGCGCAGGAAGTAGGGAGATGTAGACCTCATTGACTTCTGTGTCCAAATGTCGGCCACCCCGAGGAGCCTCCAGGTTAAGGATGCCATCATGCGAGAGAGCAGCGCGGACACGCCAGGGGTCAACATCAGCGGGCAGGACATAGGTGCGGCAGAACTCTCGAGATATGAAGCCATGACGGTCCAGGCGCTGGGGGTGCCGGGCAGACACCTCCAACAGGTTGTCCACAGTCCTCACGGTCACCTCATCTGGGGTAAAGTGGCTTACATCCAGAAATGCCTGGAACTTGCCCTCACTGAGCCTGAGCTCAGAGGCCCCTGCCCTGCTGCCCTCCCCTGCTCTGGTGGCTCGGGGCCGAACATAGTAGCCATGGTAGAGGGTGGGAGTCAGGATCTCTTCTGGCAGGAGGCCTGAGGGGCAGAGAAAGAGAAGGCAAAAGGCAGGATGAGGCACAAAGGAGGTGAAATAAGACATGAGGACTAGGTTGAGCAGGATGGGGGTCAAGAGAAGTAAGGAATGGGTGGGAGGGGGGACACGATGACTAGAAGGAGGCAGCTAGGGACAGGGGACTGAGAAAGGGAATGAGATGGGAATGGAGGAGGCCAAACCAAAGCAGAGCTGGGTAGACAGAAGGAGTACAAGAAAGCAGGCGGCAGGTGTCAGAGCACAGCGTGCATCACGTCTGCGTGAGGTCAGTGGGAAGGAGAAAGAGCCCTGCCTGGAGGGGGTAAGGGAGGAACTGGGGTAGGAGATGGCTCGGCCCAGGGGTTCAGTTAAGCCCGGAATGGGGTGGAGGCCAGCACCGTTGGGAGGCCAGCCCAGAATTTCAGGCAGTGGGGGTGGGAGGCAAATGAGTGGTGTCTGTGCCATACCTTCTCCGAAGCGCTGCTCGCCCAGGCGGCTCGGGTTGGCAAATTCGTACTCCGCGGTGGCCGGGTGGGCATGTGGCACGGAGCGGCCAGACATGGCTGCAGACGAGTAGGCAGCCCTAGTCCGCGGAGCAGTGCGACCCCTCCAGCTGCCCGCAGAGCCAGGGCTCAGACGGAGGTGGGGGCGGGGTCTACACCACCCAAAATAGTGCCGAGGCTGGGGGAGGGGCGGGCAGTGGGGGCCCTGAGGGCCAGGCACCAGTGTTTGGCCAGCGCTGCGTGGACCCCCCGTCCCCTCCCCAGCACACCCTTCAGCTGTCGCAGGGGACCAGCGAGGACAGCTGGGGGTCCTGGCTGGAGTGTGAGCTGGGAGCAGAGGCTGGTCAGAGGTCCCGGAGAGCCCTGGCTGAGACCCTTACAGTTTGTACATTTCCCACACCATTTTTTTCTCCTCCTTAGTCGCAAGCACCCTGTTTTGGGATCCATGTAAGGTGAAAGATGCAAGAAACTTTTCTACGCTTTCTTTGGTTTGTGGTGAGGGGTCTTGCTGCCCAGATGAATGTCAGTGTCCTCACCAGAACCCAGGTCAACCTCTAGCACCACACAGATGCCTGCCAGTGACATGTTGGTGATCACTGCTTTCCTCCTGGAACCCTCAAAGAGTTAATGTTTCTGGGGCCCCGCCAAGGAAGATTCCAGTTCGTGCTGGAGCCCAAGATAGTTGCTGGCCCCATACGCCTGGCTGGCTAGGCTGGAGAGGAGGAGGGACACACCATCTGCCTGCTTGGGATTCCTGACTGTGTCCCAGCCAGTGGGGGGCAGGGTGCCACTGGGTGTGGCTAGAAAGCTAGTGAACACAAGTCCAGCACAAGTCACTGACCAGCTCAGACGTGTTTGTATTTCTCTTTTCTTAGCTCAGTGAGTACTGGGTATGTGTCACACTGCCAAATCCCTGATCACAAGTCTCCACCAACGGCGGTGAGCTGGGATAATAAAACCCCTGACATCATCATTCCAGAAGCTTCACAAGAGTGCATATATAAGGACTGGCTGTAGCTGCTGCTGAAAGGAGCTGACCAGCCAGCTGACAGCCGACCCCGGACATTCACCAGCCACCATGGACATCGCCATCCACCACCCCTGGATCCGCCGCCCCTTCTTTCCTTTCCACTCCCCCAGCCGCCTCTTTGACCAGTTCTTTGGAGAGCACCTGCTGGAGTCTGATCTCTTCCCAACTTCTACATCCCTGAGCCCTTTCTACCTTCGGCTGCCATCATTCCTGCGGCCACCCAGCTGGATTGACACTGGGCTCTCAGAGGTAAGTCTCCCCTCTACACCGCAGGAGAGTTTCCTGAGGTTTCTGGAAACATCTCCAGCTGCCCTCCTTTCCCTCTCTAAATCTGGCTACGTCGAAGTATCTTGTCTTTTAGGCACTTGTGTATCCTGCAGTGAAGAAAGATGAGGTTGCTAGTTCCTCTCTCCCCCAGTCACCTGTTTGTTTTCAATGCTCCTCTATATCCTACTTACTGTGTGTGTTTTTTTCCATGTGGTATGGAGGTCTTTTATATTCCCTAAATTTTAAGTAAGACACCTCTCTCTGGCTTGGTTCATAAGGATCTACAAAGAAAGAGTTGCCTTCGGATTCCTTTGCTTATCACTTGTAATACCTCATATTCCTGAAAAATTTTATCATTTCAAGTTTCAGAGCCAGGAGACAGCCCTACTTCATCCTGAGCTTTTCATCCCCACATGTGGAGCTGGAGACAGCAACCACTATTTTCTTCCTTCTCATTTCCTCTTCTATGATTTTCTGGGTTGCTTGGGGCTATGACAGGACACTAGCCTGGATCTAGGCATAAGGAAGAAAGAATGTAGGTCCAGTCTGGGACCCCCCACCACCACTTGGCCTAAGAGGTAGAATGTGGTGAACACAAAAGGTTGATAGAAGCTGTTGCAGATAAAACTCTGGTTTAAAAATATCCAAGTGTGAGTAAACAGGAGCTGAGCAGGGAAGGGCTTTGGAAGGACAGTCAGACCAGCAGAACATTCCAGATTGAGTGGGTGGGAAACTTGGCAGACAATTAAGCAAGAAGAAGGGTCCTTTGTCTCACAGACAAATGACAAGGCCAGGCATTGGGGTCAGAAAGGCAACAGAAGCCATGCCCAGGCTCATCCTTGTAATTGGTCCCCCTGGGTGACTTGTCTTCTTCCTTGTCCCTGTAAATAAAGTTTGGGCCTGATGTCCAAATGGTGTACATTGGGTACCACTGTGGTGGCTCCCTTGAACCAGAGAGCCATGTTTATTCAAAAAGGGATTTTTTTTTAACCAAAAAGAGGAAGATAAACTACCGGCAAGTCTGCAGAATGATGATACTGTACTAGTAATCCACATTCCCACCATTTTTTCTTCTACCTCTTTCTCCCACCTTGCCATTTCTAGATGCGTCTGGAGAAGGACAGATTCTCTGTCAGCCTGGATGTGAAGCACTTCTCCCCAGAGGAACTCAAAGTCAAGGTGCTGGGAGATGTGATTGAGGTGCACGGCAAACATGAAGAACGCCAGGCATGTAGCTTGTTTTCTTTTCTTTTCATTCATTCAGTGAATACTATGTGCCAGACCCTGCCATCAGCTTCTGAGGCTGGCCACATTCCAGTCCTAAGCCACTGGGGTTTGGAAATGGGGATAGACCTGGTACTGTGATTGTTTTGGTCAGAGAAGAGATTGTTGTTGCTTTTTGTTTGTTTTAATTTGATTGCCTTAGATGGGATAGTTGGGATGTTCACTTACCATTGAAGCCAGTGGTTCTCAACCTTGGTCACTTTAGAATCAGGAGGGGAATTTTTAAAAATTCCAATGCTGAGGCACATATCAGGCCAATTAAATCAGAATTTTTAGGGATGAGACACAGGTATCAGCATTTTTAAAAGTTCCGTAGGTAATTGTAACGTACAGTCAAGGATGAGGAGCAATGATTTAGGCATAGTGCCTATTGGATACCTGGTTGCTTTATATAATTACATTAACTGCATGCACTCTGAATGCCCAAGAGTTTGGTACTTTTTGATGTTGAGGAATCCTCTTCTCTTTAGTCTACTATAACATTGAACTATTTGGTTTGCCTAAGTTTGTACTCAGCTTCTAATACCCTAGAACCCAAGTGGAAATCTGTTGAGAACCTGTCTGGATAAATGCTTGAGATTCAGCAGGTACAAGGGTTAGGGTCAGAATTCTTTAGCAGAATTTTGAAGAATGGAATACCTTCTCATTTCTTTCTGGGAAGGTTTTTTAATGAATTTGCTTCTTAACAGTTTCTGATAACTGAGAACCTTATGCATCAAACAGTACAGTTTGAGGTCCTCAAACCGTTTCCATTTTGCATACATGATTTAGGTTTGGGTCACAGTCTCCCTGGATGGAGTCTTTTTAAATAGCAGCAGTCCTATTGATCTGGAACATTCTGGGATGTTCCTGAAGAGTCGGGATAATTTCTGGGCTCTCTCAGGGCCTTAGATCTTCAGTACTGGATGATATTCCAAATCTGTCGGCCCAACAAACATTGATCTAAACCTTTGGGAAATACCTCTAAACATATCCATGCCTCAGAGTTTGGAGAGCTGTGAAGTTTTACCTGTTTCTGACTTCTCAGATTCTCCTTGGTAGGAGTGACCCCCTAGACAACTTCATTTTAGCCCCAAATGGAAAAGCTTTCTCTCACGTTGCCATGGCATTTAGTCACACCTAAGGGGAAGGAAGATGCCTAAGTTCTAAACAAATGGTGTGATTTTCCTGTTCTTATCTCTCTGTCTCTTTCCTCCTTCTCTTGGATTAGGATGAACATGGTTTCATTTCCCGGGAGTTCCACAGAAAATACCGGATCCCAGCAGATGTGGACCCTCTTGCAATTACTTCATCCCTGTCATCTGATGGGGTCCTCAGTGTGAATGGACCAAGGAAACAGGCCTCTGGCCCTGAGCGCACCATTCCCATCACTCGTGAAGAGAGGCCTGCTGTTGCTGCAGCCCCCAAGAAGTAGATGCCCTTTCTCTAACTGCATTTTTTAAAACAGGAAAGTTTCCCCACCAATGAATAAAAATCTTAATGACTAGTGCTGAAGCTTATTAATGCTAAGGGCAGGCCCAAGTTATTAAGCTAATAAAATATCATTCAGCAACAGATAACTGAACTGCCTTGTGCTATGTTTATTTTTTTAAGATTTTTATTTATTTATTTTTAGAGAAAGGGGAAGGGAGGGAAACAGCAACCCAGGGACTGAACCAGCAACCCAGACATGTGCCCTGACCAGGATCTAAATGGTCACCTTTCACTTAGTGGGACAATGCCAAACTGAGTCACACCAGTCAGGGCTGTTTTTTTTTAATTGGACAAACACAGCAGATCTTTAATCATCATACTATGATTTAGGAGGTTCCAGGGATAATAGAGTCAAGATGACTATCTCCACCACTTACTAGTGGCATAGTTTTACAAGTCATTTAAACTTTCTGGTCTTTAGAGCTTCCATTTATAACATGGAGTACTGATTTGTACACTTTTTATGAGGAGTAAATTAAAGAGAAAAGGTAGGTAAAGCCCTTGGCAGAGTTCAAAGAATATCAGGTCCTCTGACTCCTCCCTCTTTGATTTTGGTCCTCACTTCCAACAACAAATCTGAATGAACTCTGGGATAACAATACATAAAAGGTCTTAGTATGTCTCTGAATTTAATCATGTAACTAGGAAGGAGAGATGGTGCCCCCAAAGTTATTTGACATTTTCCTGCTGATAAGCAATGCCCTCAGCTGATTCACAAAGGCAGTAAATAGCACTTGGGTGATTAGAACTAAACAAGCCTCTCAAGTGTAGTCTCTAAATTATCTGGCAAATACCTATTAAAACTAAGACTGGAAAATTTCCAATTCAATGGCCCACCATAAAAAAAAGTTAACTTTTAGAATTTGAATAGTCAATGACTGATTCTATTATTTAGCTTAAACAAAGACATATTCTTTTACAAAAACATCTTTATTTCACTTTTGTGAACCTAGACAAAACTTGTGATTCCATTAATGAAAAATAGCCCTGTGTATGTTATCTGGCATAAATGTTTTTTGCTTCTTTTTTTCCTCTACCTCTGGGCTCATTGTTCCCTATTCCTCAGTAGTTTTGCACTTGCCTCCATTTCATTTTCTACATCCCTCCCCAGTTCTAAACCAGGTTTTATAAGGATGAGTGGGGCTGCCATTCTGCTATCATATTGAGTACCATCACGGAGCCACAGTAGAGCTTCTATAAATTTGTAATCACAACGTTATGTCTGAGTTTTCCCACCTCACTAAGCCCAGAGTTTCTATTCAACTAAGCCTCCCAGAAGTTTGATGGACAGGATTTTTCCCTATTTCTTTCACAAATGAGAAAATCTCATCAGAGCCTCTTGACTTGAAGCAATAAGCGGGCTTTTTCTTCTGTCTTGGAAATGAGCACTTTTAGTCCCTTTACCCTGTAGAAGTGAAAATCTTAGCTGCCACTGCCAGCTTCTAGACCTAGAGGCCAATAAGTCCATTCTCCTGAACTTTATTTTTATTTATCCAAATATTTAGTTATTTATTTTGTCCATATTGTTACTTATCATTGTTCCCCGTCAGACCCCTCCTCCACATACAGCACCGCAATGCATCTAAGTGGGTTGCCCTGCCCTGGCAAATACCTAAGGCTCCACCCCTTACTATGTAACAGGTGCATTGAGACAAAAAAATATGGCCCAAATGAAAGAAAAGATCAAAACTCCAGAAAAAAATACAACTAAGCAATGAAGAGATAGCCAACCTATTAGATGCAGAGTTCAAAACACTGGTAATCAGGATGCTTACAGAAACGGTTGAGTATGGCTGCAAACTAGAGGAAAAAGTGAAGGCTATGCAAAGTAAAATAAAGGAAAATGTACAGGGAACCAACACTGAAGGGAAGGAAACTAAGACAAATAAATCATTTTGACCAGAAGAAAGAAATAAATATTCAACCAGAACACAATGAAGAAACCAGAATTCAAACAAATGAGGAGAGGTTTAGGAACCTCTGGGACAACTGTAAATATTCCAACATCTGAATCATAGGGGTGCCAAAAGGAGAGCAGGAAGAGCAAGAAATTGAAAACTTACCTGAACAAATAATGAAGGAAAACTTCCCCAATCTGGTGAAGAAAATAGACTTCCAGAAAGTCCAGGAAGCTCAGAGAGTCCCAAAGAAGTTGGACCCAGGAAAGTATGCACCTAGGCACATCATAATTACATTACTCAAGATTAAAGATAAGTAGAGAATTTTAAAAGCAGCAAGAGAAAAGGAGACAATTACCTACAAAGGAGTTCCCATAAGGCTATCAGCTGATTTCTCAAAAGAAACTTTGCAGGCAAGAAGGGGCTGGAAAGAAGTATTTGAAGTCATGAAAGGCAAGGACCAACATCCAAGATGACTCTATCCAGCAAAGCTATCATTTATAATGGAAGGGCAGATAAAGTGCTTCCCAGATAAAGTCAAGTTAAAGGAAGTCATCATCACAAAGCCCTTAACATATGAAATGTTACAGAGACTTTATTGAGAAAAAGAAGATCAAAACTATGAACAGTAAAATGACAACAAACTCACAACTATCAACAATTGAACCAAAAACAAAAAAACTAAGAAAAAACTAGAACAGGAACAAAATCACAAAAATGGAGATCACATGGAAGATTATCAGCTGTGAGGGGGGTGGAGGAGAATGGGAGAAAAGGTACAGGGAATATGAAGGATAAATTGTAGGTACAAAATAGACAGGGGTATGTTAAGTATAGTATAGGAAATGGAGAAGTCAAAAAACTTATATGTATAACCCATGGACATGAACTAAGGGGTTGGGCAATGCTGGTGGGAGGTGGAGTACGGGGCAGAGGGGAATAAAGAGAAGGGGAAAAATGGAACAACTGTAATAGTATAATCAATAAAATATACTTTAAAAAAATAGAAAGATATCGCTGGCTGGTGTGGCTCGGTATATTGAGTGCCAGCCTATGAATCCAAGGGTCACCAGTTTGATTCCCAGTCTAGGGTACATGCCTGGGTTATGGGCTGGGTCTCCAGTTGGGGTCATGCGGGAGGTGGCCACACATCGATGTTTCTCTCACTCTCTTTCTCCTTCCCCTCCCCCCTCTCTAAAAATGAATAAATAAAATCTTTTTTTAAAGATTTTTAAATCTTTAGGAAAGTATCCTACCATATACTTTCTTAGTTATGTGATCTTGTATGTTATTTAATTTTTTCCAACTTCAGTTTTCTCATCTGTAAAGTATGGGGACTCATAGTATCTACCTCATAGAATTGTGAGGAATAAATAAAAAAACACAGATAAAGCATTTAGTATATTTCCAGACCATCATAACCATTCAACAAATCGTATCTGTCATGATTGTACAAAATTTTCAAAAATAAGAACTATTTGTGTGCATTATTTTGGACAAAAACTTGATATAATTAAGATTTTAAACACAATGATTCTCATAATTTACAAATAACTATTAGTGTCAATAATAATAAGGAAACATTTGTGGCTTAAACGACTGCCAATTTTAATCAAGGGATAGTATTTTGAGATACACTCTTTCTATCCAGCAGGTGGAGAAGGAACAAAGTGCAGTTTATCTGTGTGTTTCAGGACACTATAGAAAAAAAAGTCTGGCAAATAGTATGATAATCAGTTTTAATAATTTTAAAGGACTTTGTCACTATTTCTAGCATTAAAAGAAATAAATACAGAAGATAGATTTGCCATATGAGATTTATTATAACTTTAAAATAATATTAAAATTTTGATTTTAAAATGTGAGGAAAATATAGAAAAATAAGTATACTGAAATTTGAAACATGGTGGTTATCTTGATTTATTACTCTTTTTTATGATAATCTCTAATTTTATTGTTCATTTTTTGATTAATCAATTGAATTCAAATCCTGTCATTTCTTTTTATCCATTGGTTTGTAAAGTGGCCTTTCTGATATAGACTCATTACTCTTATATTTTCCTGTCCAAGTCCTTTGTCACTAGTCAGCATACAGGATACAGGTATCTGGTATTCACAACTAACCATAGAATCAGGGTAATATTTAAATATCAGAAAAATATGTAAATATCATTCCCTATTTAATATCCCACTACTGTTTACAATCCAAAATTACTCATATTACTGCTTAATTTTATTTACATTAAAAGTTATTATATAAATAATACATAAATACATTCTTGTAGTAAAATTTTCAAATATAAAACAGTAGGGTAAAAAGCCTCCATTTCTTCTAGCCCAGTCCTTTCTTGAAAGATGTACATGGTTATATATATTATATATACACACATATACACATTCCATCATACAGGATTATTTGTTTGCAATAATGTGATGAAATTATACTTATTTTCTGCTTTCTTCACCTAACAATATGTGTTGGAAACTTTACCAAGTTAATACATATCTCCCTCGGTATTCCTAATTATGAGCATACCATAATTTATTAATACTTTATCATTGGACATGCAGATTGTCTCTATATTTTGCTGTTACACTTACAAAGTGAATACCCTTATACACCTGTTTGTGTATATGTGCAACTGTTTTTGTTGGGCAGAGTTTTAGAAGTGGAATTGCTATGACATGTATTTTGCATGGACTCTTTTTGGAAGGTGATACCAGAAACTGCTGAGTGATCATCTCTGGGGAGGGACCAGGGCAACTAAGAGGATTGGGTTTAGGAATGAAAAGGAGACTTTTTACCCAATATGCTCTATTATATTGTGTGATTTTGTTTTTACAATTTACATGTAGTTAAGATACATAATTACACAAAAACAGAGTATGCACTTTAAAATTTGACACAGGCACACTGTCCTCAAAAATGCTGACTTACACTTATAAACATTGTATGAGAGTCCCTAACTTCTAGATTTTACAAAAGTGAATAATTAAACATAAATGGGACATTAGGACTATTTTGGATCTTTTAATATACTTCGCAATAATGGAATTGTGAGTTTTATTCTTGTTATGTTTAGTGCTTTAAGGTATAAAGCAGTGGATATGTGTGAGAGAGATGCCACAAAATAGCATCAGTGCTGATTCATGCGGATTGTATAATTTTCCCCAAGACACTCTCAGTTTTGTA